AAAATCTCTCTTACTTCAAATCTAGCCATCTGCTTCAGCAGATGACGTTTTAGAAGGCCATTCTTGTGACCTGCCTTCAGTTTTTGGATGATTTATTATGGGCTCCGGATAGGGTCTCAGTAAAATATAACAGGACCTCAGGAGTGTTTGGTGTAGCTGGTCGAATCACAAAATAGGAGAAGCTTTGAAAAGCTAACTCATGTGTTCATGAGATCCGAAGAATGTGTATTCTTGAAATATTTATTATATCCAGTCCAGAAAAATCCATTTAGTCATTCACTCTGATCTGAATTCATGGCACTAAATGAAATTCCGATTGTCTTTGCAGTGTTCTGTGTACATAACACAACAAATTATCAGCGCATACAATTTTTGAACCGAAGTGTAGTCTCAATGATTTAGAATTGCGTAAGGTCAGTGAAATTAAACCAAGATATATCTAAGCACAAAACCAGACGGTAACCCAGCTAAACACCAAAACAGAAATGAGGCTTCCCGAACAACTTTGTAGGATGCAGCATGTTTCCCTTGTCAGGATGATAAGAGACGTCAGCCATGGAGAGACTTGTTTCAAGGTGTAGTCTCATTCCTTATTTGTGCTCCTAATCGGTTAGACCATGTATGTACTGTCGGCTTTCTTTTAATTAAAATTAAACACCGGTTAAAAATAAGTCAAATTTTAATGAATATTCGTTGACCAGACATGTTCTTCTGTGAGAAATGAAATCGAAGAGGGGAAAAATTCGCCGTTAACCACAATTTGATAATAATTCTACATATAATTAAATGTTTACGGTTAGTAGATCAAACTGCGTTATCCTCTTTAATGTGCCAGACTGTAGCAGTAGTCTGCTAGAAAACAGGGCCCTGTTTGATCAGGAACAGTGGTCCAACTTGTGTAGCACACTGGGTCTGGACATCCAACCAGTAAAACTATGCAGATTGTAAAGGGGCACTGCTGCTCCTCAAGGCAAACCATCCCCACTGAGGGTAACACTAGGCTCTACCGAGGATGCCGAAAAAGTTTTACTGACTTCCCAAGTCCTTTCTATTGGGAGGACCTGCAATATACGTGTTAGGCCAGATAGGCCATGGAAGGAAAGACAGATGGCGAGGGAGTTGCCAGAGCTTATTCCTTCTGCCTCCATGGTTGTTCACGGCATTCCCGAACTGGTAACTGGGAACGCTTGTGAGAAGCACTGTCACGATATACAGAAATGGAGATGGTTAGCATCCCAGATGGGTCTGGGAAGTTCAGGGGCTGTCTCTATTTATAGACTGCCTCGACCCACCCACCTTATGTCATTTAACACGCCACGTCTGTTAGCTGTTAAGTTCAGCTCCCGAGACCAGTTGACTACTGCTCTCCAGAGATGGTACGAGACCAAGGACAAGATCAGCAGACACATTCGCTGCCGCGAGAGCCGGCCTCGTACCCAAAGGAGAGAACAAAACGTTGTCATAGAACATCCCCAACCCCTAGTCACAACACAGTGGTGCAGCACGGACGATGATAGCCAGTGTCATCCAAGTGCTCCGATTGAATCAGAAGAAAAAAACGCCAACAGACCGGTTCCCGGGGAATCGGCCAACTAGTTCGTAGGATAACTCCTCAACCGACAGCCCACATCACGTCAACCACCCCCCAATACGGAGACGTGGTGAGACTGACTACCAGTTGCCTGTACAGTAATGTGAGAGGTCTAAGAGGAAAACTAGCTGAACTTAGATACCTACAATCACAGCTGAACTCCAAAATCATAATACTGACGGAAACCTGGCTAATCCCAACGGTGGCAGACAGCGAAGTCAGTATAAATGATATTGTCCTAGTCAGGCGAGATATGGATCTGAAAGGAGGTAGAGTCGCCATATACGTCGACAAACAGCTCAGATGTGTCCATGCAATCGACCCTCCCCTCATTGAGCTCCCTGACTCCATATAGTGCCATTTCACCGCTGGGTACTGTAAGTATCTAGTGGGCAGCATTTACAGATCACTTTCATGTGGAGCAGACCACAACCAGGTACTGCTGAATGCAATTTCAGCGACACAAGACATTGGTTATGATCAAATTGTCATAGCTGGAGACTTCAATGCCCCATCTCTTAACTTGATGACGGGATATGCCCAGGATAGATTCGATCGAAATCTGCTGCATACCATCAGGCAGGCTGGATTCACTGAAAATGTCAGAATGGATACTAGATGGGGCCCAGATGGGAAGTCTTCTAGACTGGATTATGTGCTCACTAGGGACCAGCTATCAGTAGAAAACGTTCAGATCACGACTCCCACAGGTAGTAGTGACCACGCGGTCATAATATTCGACATAGTCCTCTGCGAGCGTTTACAGTGGGACAATACACAGCCCTATCTGTGTTATAACAAAGCCAATTACACCGAAATGCGAAGACTTTTGTCTGAAGCAAATTGGCCAAAAAATTGGACAGAGCTTACAGTAGAAGAACACTGGAGAGTGGTAAAGGAGATCATTCACCAGGCGGTCTCAGACACTGCTCCTTTAGTCACACCAAAAGCTAGAAAGCAACGTTCATGGCTAAAAAGGGGGACACAACGCCTTCTACAGGCGAAGCGAAAAGCCTGGTTTGCGTGGCAAGTATGGAAGAGTCAACCCGAACACGAAATGTACCTCGAACTCAGGAATCGACGTAACATACGAGTCCGGAGTGATAGAAGGACATTTCAGAGAAACCTCGCCATTAAGCTTCTCGTGAACCCCAAAAGCCTATACAGGTTTATGTCTGAAAGAAAACCGACCAATCTAGTGGGTTCTGATGGGAAATCTCTTACTAGTCTTGAAATGGCAGAGACATTCAGTCTAGCCTTTCACAGGCAACTGAACAGTAATGAGGATTTTACCCCCACAAAACATCAAGATTACAATGCAAGATCAACGTGCGAAAACCTGCTGGGTACATTTCAAATTACTTCGGCTATGGTACTCGTAAAATTGGGAAAGTTGGCTTCGGGAAAGTCTGCAGGTTGCGATGACATAAGACCATCCGTCCTGAAGCAGTGTTCAGAAAGTCTCTGCCAACCCCTAAGTGATCTGTTTCAACACTCCTTTGATGTAGGGAAACTTCCATGTGAATGGAAACGAGCCATCCTATCCCCTATCTTCAAGGGTGGTGACCGGCAGAACGCGACCAGTTACAGACCAGTTGCGCTACTCCCAGTGATATCGAAGATATTCGAAAGTCTCATTGACGACCACATGAGAAAATACTTCGACGGGACTAACCTACTCCATGAAGCACAGCACGGTTTCAGGAGGGGAAGATCCTGTGTGACGAATCTTCTACTAGCTTGGAACGATTGGACACTATCCTGGGATGTAAAGGTACCAGTCCATATGATCTTTCTCGACCTTGCGAAAGCATTCGACACAGTTACCATGGTCTGCTCCTTCACAAAATAAGCAAAGCGGGTGTTTCTGGAGCACTTCTCGCATGGCTGGAAGATTATTTAGGCGAGAGAGAATTCTGCACCAAAGTCAACCGCATCCGACAATCCTGGCACACCTCGGCATCAGGGGTTCCTCAGGGTTCTATCTTAGGGCCGTTGATGTTTTTGATTTTTATCAACGACCTGCCCTGTCAACTGAATTGCTCTGCGCTTCTTTACGCTGACGACGTAAAGATTTGGAGAGCAATAAACTCATCGGAAGACTCCGACAGATTGCAGGCTGACCTGCAAACGCTGGGAGACTGGGCTCTGGCTAACGGAATGCCTTTCAACTTAGAGAAGTGCAAAGTAGTGCAACTTCATTCCGGCAGGTCACAGAGTGCAAATTACACCCTTGGTGGCCAGAACTTGAGTTGTATGCCATCAGAACGCGACCTAGGTCTTATTTTAACAGAAAAGCTAGACACCAGTGTAAATTACACGAAGGACGTCGCCAAAGCTTACGCCACTTTACACTTCATGCATAGGCAGCTGGGAGCTCTTACTCCTGAACTATTCTTAACGTTGTATACGACATACGTGAGGCCACTTCTTGAGGTGCATAATATCGTTGCTCCTCCGCTACTCAAAAGGGATGCTAACATTCTAGAAAGTGTCCAGAGATCAGCGACAAAATGGGTGATCGGCCTCTGCAACAAATCATATGAGGAAAGACTGAAGAAATTAAGTCTTTTCACACTTAGTTACCGTAGTCACAGGGGAGAACTCATCACCGTCTATAAGATCTTAAACGACCAGGCCCACCCTAATAAAAGCATCCTGCCACTAAGTGATTAGAGGCTTCCACGAGGTAACCCGCTAAGGATAGCACACCAGAGACCAAAGACTCGAGTGCGTTCACATTTCTTCTCGCTTCGAGTTTGCCGTCTCTGGAACGCTTTACCGGCGGCCGTAACTACAGCTCCATCTGTGGAGACTTTTAGGGGGAAGCTGGACAATCATGCAGAAATGCATGGTTTGTGTCTCAATGGCTTATCCTCTTAAAATTTGAAACCACATTGTCAGTGGATAAGCATACAAGCTAAATCCCCACGGCCCGTCCTGTCTTCTCCCACTGTACCGACTACTCTATCTCTTTTTTTCTTTCTTTATTATTTCACCTTTATTATTTCACTTATCTCAACCTATATTATCTACACTACAGCCTATTATTATTGTTATTACTATTCTTCTTTTATGACTTCACCGAATGACCAACGGGTGTTAGGTAAAACTCCATTCACGGCAGCAGCTGAGTCCTAACATACTACACACTACAAACCACAATCTTGACCAATCCTCGCATCACTCCTCTTGGAGTCTACCAGAGCTAAAGCAGTCGAGTGGCGGGATTTACTACGCATAAGTTCACCGAAGATCTGGAACCTCTACCTTACAATCAAGAAGCGAGCTCAATGAAATCTTTGGTTTATACTAGCTCGTAATCAGGATATTGGATATTGGAAGCGATCAATTTTTTTGTTTGTTTAGATTCACTGTCGGCGTTAACTAGATTAGGCGCTAGGACGCCATGTCCGGTGTTCTATGTTCGCTATCTATGGTAAGTTATCGGTGTTCGTATGCCAAGTATTGTCTGTTAGTTGTAATGTACTAAAGTCACTGTTTTGTCTTTTTCAGCCTAACAAACGTAAAGTAAGTTGTGAATTGATGTTGTTAACTTTTAAAATACTAGTGATGCATTTGATAAATTCAGAATAACGGAAAAGGTTTTTGTTTGTGACAAACCCTATAAAATTAATAAATTTAATTGTAGCATAATGTGGCTGGTCAAGTGAACAGTATTTGTCGGCTCAGCACTCATTAGGATGTTTCTTGGGAAATCTGTTGCCTGTTCCATTTTCTACTACTCCGGGTTCGGTTATCTGTTAAGCAAGTAGAGTGGCTATTCTGGGTTATCCTCAACTTTTTTCAAGACACTGATGAGGCATTACCTAGAAGTTATCGTATTGTTGCACCCGTAGTTATAAATGAAGTCGATTTCAGGTAATTGCTTGAGTGCCTTGAAGGCGTAGGGCAGTCGATTCTGATAGCTCGACCATTCACCTTGCTAAATACTAAGTAGTTCATTCCATGTTAAAGAAGACACTTGGAGAAACTCTGTGTAAAGCCCAAGGAGAGTTGCACACTGAGATGCATTAGTTGTGTTAGAACCGAATTATTTTTGCTGGGGAAATATCTTTATAGAGCCAACTGTGGGCGCACGTGGCCAGTTCTCCGTTAACCGAGTCTCACAAGTGGTTAGACGGTCATGCTAGGTTTCATGGACTGCTTCGATCCACTAGATAACCTGGGACTTCTGTTTTAGTCTAATCTGCGTGCTATTTATCAATACACAAAATGTTTATTCTGTTTTATCAGTAGCTGCATATTTCTCGTTAATCAGTCTAGAGGGCTATCCTGAAGTGGATGATACAGCTACCTACAAAGCATACCAAGTTCCTTTTTTTCTACCGCAACTGCCAAGGCCAGAGTTGGTGGATTAACAGACCTATACCGGAATGCATCGTAGATTCAAAACTGATCCTAAAGCGAGTATCGGGAAATTAGTAGATTTACGTAAACTTGCCACAAGCATGTCTGTATCTGGAAGCTATCTTCGTGGAAATAACTTGCAAACAAAACTACAACGTAGCTAAGAACTTCGAGGCAGTTTACAGTGAAAGTTCTCAGGCTCAGCTTGCAACAGCATGAGTAATGTTGGCCTTTTGCATCTTGTCAATTAAAGCATGTTCTGTGGTGAAGCAGTTTGATAATCCCATAGTGTCCGTTGCGCAATTGTAGGTTTAAGTGGGTAAATGCGAGAGATGGTTGCGAGTCTAGATGGCAATGTTTTTTGTTATACGAGAATATAATTGGCTTGAAAGAAGTTGTATTTGTAACCTTCCAGGCGTCCGCAAAAAGTGGGAATGCCGTTAATTTCACTCAGTTTGTAGTTATGTTGCTTCAAGCCGTTAGATGTAGTAAAATAGGATCAAGGTAGCTAACCATTATGGTATATAGTTTGCGGTTTCCAACTACAAAGCTGTTGTGAATTGGATAAATCCTTATTTGGAAACTGACATTTAAAGACATTCGGGACCTCCCAGTTTAGAGTGAACTGAAAGCGGTAAGTGTATATCAAAGATTCTCTAACTCTGTATCCCTTTAAAAATCAAAACATACAGTCGAGATTGTTGCATAAAGATAGTATTTTCAGGTGTTAAATCTTATATTTTAAGCAGATTGAGCAGAGCTCTAGCTCAGCCTGTTCTCTATGCATATTTATTTACTAAGTAATGTAGCAAATCTAAGTCTAGGAGTAGATTCCAAGTCCTACTTTTCTTTCGAAGTAAGATGATTTACTGGAAAACAGAGATCTTAAAATTGTCTAACTCTGTACAAACCATTAAAAAGCAACGCTGGTTTGGTAACTGGTCTAGAAAACCAGTCGTGCTCAAACAAAAAAACGGTTGAATTAAAGCTTGTGCTCTCGATAATGAGACATCGGAGCTAGATGAGAATCTGTGTATGGCCATGACGCTTAGAAAACAGCAGAGTAGTTTTCTTATGAATCCGGAAATTATGTAACGTAGCTTCGGATTCCTTCTTGACCATGTTTATCTCATTCTCTAATAACTATTGTATGGCTCAGTCTGTAGGTTAGCCTACAAAAAGTTCATGAATCTAGCTGGAAAGCCTGTCCTCAAAGCTTTCGTTGAATGCTTTCCCTAAAGTTCTAAAATAAGTATGATTTAAAAGCCATTCCCGAACTGTCCACCAAAAATTCTGTCTATTTACTTTGTTTTCCATATTCTGCCAGTATTATTGTTGTTTGTGCAATTTTCGCCCTCATCTGATCCTATACATCTCTACCCGAGTGCTGTTGTGGACATCTGCAGTTTATTGACGCTGCGGAGAATGAAAATCGAACAATCAGTACAGCTACGCCTGATATTCAGGAAGTTTGTAGACGTTACTTGAGTTTTCTGAGCAATCCTGGATATCGTCAGTGTGGAAAGGCAGTATGTATGATACGGAAGATTGACTAGAAGTGGAGTTGGTGGTCAGTATGAAATTGTCAATAGTTTGTAGTAGTAGCAGTATTGCATGATTAATACCCGCAATAAATTTATATCTCCTTTTAGTGTATTTTGGTTTCAATTGTAAATATTTGATAATAGAACATTAATAATCCCTAGTTCCACCTTTTTACTTCATTTGTAAGTAAAGAAATTTGATTTTAACCTATTATCTTGCTGTTTTCTTTCTTTAGCGAGATTTAAGTGTACCAAGCATTAACCTACAACGCAACGGTCACCCTTCAATGGATTTGGAGTCAGTTGATACTAAAAAGGTAAGGTTTATTAGTCAATGGTTATTCACTTTTGCAGTCGCGTGTTGATCACCGAATAGAGACACAGCCATCTCGTGTTGTACATATACGAAATATGCCTTCTGATGCAACAGAAAATGAGATTGCGCTTTTTACAATACCATTCGGTTCACTCAAGAATATGGTTCTTTCTAAAAGAAGTAACCAAGCTCTTATCGAGATGAATGTTCTGGAGGAAGCTGCACAACTAGTCACTCATTACCTGAAATATCCTGTTACTTTGCATGGGAAACACCTGATCTTTCAGTTTTCTACACATTCACACCTTGAATTAGTTTCCGAAAATGATGCTGTCGTTAATGCGATCAAAAATGCGAATCGAGTAGTTCAACAAGATCTTCCCGGTGTACAATCCGGTGTCCCTAACACTGTATTACGTGTAATCATAGACAACATTATGGGGCAGCAAATTAATCATGTTATTCTGTATAAGGTAATTTCATCTTCAGTATTAATGTAACCCTGCAGATATTTCATCGGTTTGGAACCCTTTTACGTGTGTTAATTTTCCTACGCAATAATCAGTATCATTGTTTATTGGAGTTCCAGAATCATATCCAAGCGTTCGTCGCTATGTTAGTGAGTGAAATCTTGTTACAGTCTACTATTACTTTTCATCATTGGTATTAGCTTTTCTCATATTGAAATCAGTCAGTCTTTTTATTCTATCTCGTGTTTTTAATGAGCTTCATTCTTAAACATAAAATATCCTCTCAACTTCCTAAATTCCTATTGATTATCGCTATTACGATCACATTAAAAAGATATTTCTCATGTATCGAAGTGATATTATAGGGTTTGACTGTCTTTAGAATTTCTTCATTAACATGTTTATTGAGAAAGAATATTGTATATAATTCAAACAATCAGTTTGTTTCTAATTAGACAGTGTTCTAACATTGTAAATAGTGAACCGTTCTTGTTTACAGTTTGCTAGCTAAATTACACACACAAATTTGTTTAATTCAATAAGAATTTATTTCGTCATCTACTATCAACATTTTTGAAAATTATTCATATTCCTATTGCATCATATACTTACAACATTACTACTTCAATCTCTTAGTGTAATATTACTTTTGTTTTTCAGACGTGTTCAAATGAACTTTGATCTTAACACATGTGTTTATGAATTCATAGTGTTCTTAATTGGAATTAATTCTAATCGGTTTGGCGGTATAAAGTATGATTTGCGCATACTTTAAAACCGCAACATTTCTGATGTTTAGTCAGGAATGGTTTACTATTAGTGATACAGTTAATTTGTGTCTGCAATGTGACGTCATTCACATCCCTGTATTTAGGCAGCAGCAAAATCCTATGCAACATTTCTCCTTTTAACTTATTATTATAACTTTTTTACAATTTCGAAACTTATATTTCATCTTTGTTGTTTCCTTTTAAAATTATCTTACCGTAAACTTCCGTATTTTAGCTCCTCAATGGTCAGAATATATATACTGGTTGTTGTTCTCTTCACGTGGAGTTTTCGAAAACCCGAGGACCTCTGGAAGTTCGCCGTGAAAATGATAAATGTCGTGATTACACCATTTCACCTCTTACTGAAGAGGAATTAAATAGTTTACAAGCATTACCAAGCGGAGTAAATACGACTACAGTAAATCAGACTGTGAATGCGATTACTCAACCCACATTGGGACAGGGTTTGTCTCTAGCTAATCCAACTGCAGCATTCACTACTGTTCCTCAAGCCCCACCTGCAGGCATCAATGAACTTGCTCTTCAGTTAACTCTTCTTGCTCAACAGTCTGGTCTTGCCTTAACACCGGCTGCAGCCGCAGCTACTGCTAGTTTCATGGCTTTAACTGCCCAAGGTGGAAATTCTGCTGTAAACCCAACATCAGGAAATATAATAAATGCGGCAGCATTGTCAACTCAGCGTACTGCCCTGCCGAATGTCCCAAATCAGGCACAGATTGTGCCTACTTTAGTTCAACAGTCTGTACCTAATATGGGACAAACTGGGGCTAGTACTGTGTTAATAGTCTCGAATCTCAACGAGGAGGTATGTATTGATTATCCTTAATTTGTTATCTTTTTAAACATTTCCTTTTCGTTTTATTTCTCTTGTGATAATTCATCTTATTCTGTTTCTTATTATTTATTGTTTTATCCATTGTGATAAAACATGCTTGTTTCTATTCGTGTTTTTTAACTTATCGCTTTTTACTGTTTTCCTTTTTCTTCTCTACCCTCTATCATCGTTTGATTCCAATGGTTCGACTTCATTGTGATATGGTGCTTAATTTACACTTACGAAATGGTTACAATTTATGCTCGGTGTACAAATCAACTCTCTATGGTGGTCTGTCTACATGAACTTAATTCGTCTCTTTATTTTTACCACGTTTCGGCCTCCATTAATTATTCCTATACATACATATCATTCGCATGCCTACAAATATTCATTTTGAATGTTTGTTTTCACGTGTTTACCTTGGTGTTCTATTCCAATTATATGTATATACTTGGATTCTATATCTACTACTACTACTACTGTTTTCTGAGCTAGAAAGTATATCCAGATGCATTATTTACACTTTTCGGTAGGTTTGCTTATTATTATTTATTTATTTTTCATTCTTTTAGACTGAATTTCAAATCTCTTTCTGTTTGAAAGATGTTATGTGCATTTAGAAATACTTTACCTAGTTATTCTTACTGTTTCCAAATTTATCTAACTTCTCTAATCGAGATATTCACATAATGAATTAAATATAACTCTTTGATTTGTCACAGGTGTTTATGGTGATGTAACTCGGGTCAAGATAATGTTTAACAAAAAGAGTACTGCTCTGGTTCAATTCTCAGACCCTCAACAGGCACTGACAGGTATGTCTTGTGATAATTACCTTAATGCTTCCTAGCTCTTTATTATCTGAATGGGCAACCGTTGTATGGAAAACCGTTGAAAATAGCTGTCTCACGCTTCAATATTGTTCAATTGCCAAAAGAGGATTCAGATGTTGGACTGACAAAGGATTATACGAACAGTCCACTTCATCGATTTCGTAAACCGAATTCTAAGAATTTTGCCAATATTTATGCGCCAAATCATGTCCTGCATTTAAGTAATATTCCCTCTGCGATTACAGAGGAAGAAGTTAGAATGATTTTTGAAACCAAAGGATATCATGTTACAGATTTCAAATTTATGCAGTAAGTTGTCTTGTATTTCTCCGTGTTGCTAATTCTTCTTCTTGCCTTGTTTCTTTAGGAAGGATAAGAAGATGGCACTGATTCAACTTGAAAATGTAGATATGGCTATTCAGGCTTTAATAGTATGTCAACTTTTTCCCTTCGGATTAAATTTATTTCTTCATTTTTTTATAGGATCTTCATAATTGTCAGCTAACAGAAAATTCTCATTTGCGTATCAGTTTTAGTAAGACTGCTATATAAATACCTTTCAGACCTCGTTGGTTGTCTACCTTTATTTAACTTTGATTCCTGGTACATAAAAATACATTTTATATAAAAACCAAGTTTACTTTTGGCCTTTTATCACAATTCAGATATGTTTATTTTATTCAGAGTTAATTCTTCCAACTTTCTCAACTGCATTAGCATATTGTGTGCTTCAAAGTTTAACTTTCATGTATTAGTCTGAACACAGTGAGCAGCAGTAATCGTCGAATGTTTGGCAAACGATTCTCTCCTGTCAAATTTAAGATGATGCTAAAGAACTAGACTAGATTGACTTCTAGGTTAAAGATAAAGAGTGAAATGGTTGTTGGTGCGTGTTGACCATTTCACTTATTTGGGAAGGTGTGTCAACCTCTACGGACTGGTTGCTGACGAAATCTCAGCACAAATACAAAAGGTTCGTGTTTCGCTCATCAACTTACATCATCTGTGATGTAGGCATAATATCCGGTTGTCGGCCAAAGGACGTGGGTGATGCGCAGCAGTTCGCTCCTCTTTCATTTATAACTGTAAACTATGAAAAATTTAGCTATCTTCGAGCATGTATGTCGGCGGTGTTAGATAGCATAGTATGGTGAGTCTGTCTTGAAGAAAAGTACTAACTGTAGTAGGGGAATAAGATGATGAAGGTGATGTGGGTAGAAGAGAATGACACTCAGGAAGGATTCGTGTGCTTTTGGAAGTGTGTGGACGGTTGTTACTTCCCGGCTGCCCAAACCGTTGATTGATTCTTCGAGTACCTGAAAGAGAGAGGGTTAGTGTTGCGTGACCGCAGAGCCCAAGGGGCAACTGCTTGAGGCCGCTCACACGGCCTGTATGAACTGGTTTCTTGGTTTGGTTCCATATTAGTAAACTTGCCGCCGGTTACGGACCACCGTAGGGTAAGTCGGGATGTACAATTTTCGGGATCGACCTTCTCTAACCCCCTCTCTCCGGAGTGGAGAGACAGCATAGCTGGCATGCTGGTCATCTGCTGTTATCCCTGTTCCCCAGCAGTATGACTTCGCCCTCAGACCCCCAGCATAGTGTAAGAAAGATTCTTACACAACTCTGGTAACTGCTTCTAATCTAATCACTATCCTGGCAACCTTCCTGGCTTGGTAGGACCCGCAGGAACATTGGTTACAGCCAGTGTAGCTTGTTGGGTCATCACGATGTGCAAGCCCGACCACTACGTCAAGGTAGCAGCTATCGGTCGGAAGTATGGTGAGTAATATTGAGGTTGAGTGTCAGGTAAATAGGGAAAGTGAATTGATAGGGTTGCGATGCTACGTGGATTGATATGGCTTGGACATGTGTTAAGCATGTCTAGCCGTCTCCTTCCTTGACCGGTAATGGTAGCTGATATAGAAGTTGGAAGAGAGTTTTTGGAGGTTAAGCCAAACTTGGAATCAGTCTGTGAAGGTTTTGACAGCTAGTTTGAGCCGAGTATGCAGGTGTAGGCTTTGTGGTTGGGTTCTCCGGGATTCTAACAGCTACTGGCTGGAGACAATTGATGGTATGGCTCAAAGTCTTTCTAAATGTCACAGATGCATTCACTCTTTGTGATTTCTCATATCCGTTAAACGGTCGTGTTAGTATTCATTCCCCCTCAATCTTCTGCTTATTATAGTCTGTGATGAAACTCAGTAAGTCAGTATGGCTTTGCAAAGTAGTTAAAAAATTGTACTAGAACAGGAGCTGTGAGTTTCACTTGACGTGTACATTATTGAAGTTAAATCTGGGAGTAAGCAAATGCTTTTCTATCTTGTGCGTTATCCCGCAAAAGAAATGATCAAACAGGAGTCAGTTTAAGCAAACGTTGATAGTTACAACTATTTGCATGGTATGTCTAATTGTGAAGTTCACCATAATTTACTGACATAATGGCTTTGAAGATTGATCCTACTTTCAGTAACCACTGGTTGGTTCTTTTGTTATTTATGACTATAAGTCATTCAAGCCCACAAATGGTTTGTGGCCCTTTAGTTTTGTGAAGTATGCTTTAGATTCTATTACTCACAAGGTCAATTGCATAGTCAGGAAGGAGTTTCGTAAGCAGTTTTCTGTGCTATGCATTTCATGTGGTAACCATAGTATAATCGTGTTTACGGCTTTATGCGTCAGATGTTGGGATTCCACTTATTGTCTATCGGCTTGTTGGTATTTTGTCAAACACCTTGACGGTAGTTCTGGCTGCGGTGCAGGCGTGCTCAAATGATCTGAACAATCGGTCCGTCGTCTTGAGAGTTGAGACGGCTAAACTACGACCTAGTGGTGTCGTGAAGCTTCGAATCGTGGCTTAGAGCTTCAGTATACACCATACTCTTAACTTGTGGATTGGTATCCTCTTGGTTAACGTAGACATGGTCATGATGGTGTTTGTTAAGTCAAATCACTATTGTCCTCGGGACTTACTAACATATTCAATAATCTTGATAAACTTTTTCTAGATTCAGATTCATACTTGTTGACTGAAGATATAAGGCTTAAAGCCTATGTTAATCCTTTTCTAGTAAATTTCTGTGCTTATCCAAAGCCTTCTTGGATGAGTTAATTGACGGCGCCGACACCACTTCTAGGAGTTGACAACTCGGTGTAAGAACCAGTGTTCCACAGACATATTGTTATTCCTTGTACTCTTGCCACGTCCTTTAAGGTGCTCTTACCTGGTGGGAGGTAGAAAAGAGAATCGTTTAGGTCCGTAGCCATTATTTAAACACTGTAATGAGATCTCTGTCTACGGTGTGATGGGGAGAAGCCTTTCCTCGTGTGATAAGTTAGTCATTCCAAGAATCATACGTGTTGCTTTCATCTGAACCATTTCTAGAATATGTGAGCCCCCTTTAAGACAAGGATTGACTGCTTGGATACAGTTTTTCAGTCTTGACCTCACCAGATATATGTAGAGAGGTGAGTATCTCTTTGGTGATTTTAGCAAAGGCTCTGCGAAATGGCCATAAAGGTTGGAAACTACGTACTGTCACCACGCGACAGTGACATGCTATGGCATCTAGACCCGTGTCTCTCTGAACTGATGGGAATGTGACTCCGTCGAGTTCGTAGGAGCTGACGGGTGCGTGTCCGATGTGCATTTCGCTACATTGATCAGGAACATCCATTCTTTGGACCACTGATAATCTGTTGAGGTCTCTTTGCAACGTAAGCGTATCATTGTCGCCCTACATTTCCCTCCAAATTTTCAAGTCATCTTCGTCTAGGACCACAGGGAATCAGTGAGTACGCTTAAGTGAGTCGCTTAAGATGAGCTTTTTGATCTGTCTGTGAAATCGACTACAACCTTTAAATTTCCTTTGATACTATTTACTGAGATGTGAATATCCATTATGCTTGTTCAATCTCCTGCTGTGTCTTGTAATATGTGAGTGAGGATTTTTCAGAACTAGCTGTCTTACGTTGAAATGTTGTCCAGTTCTCTAAATTAGCTTCAGTGAGTCTGTACATATTAAGTCAAGTGTGTGGACATTTACTTGAAGTAAACTGGTGGAATCCGGGATGTGTGTTTCGTCCTATTTGGGACTCGTCACCTAGTAGATGTACTTGAATTGCTCAGTGAATTATGATGTTCCCACTGAGGCTCCTACCCGGTACCCATAGTTTCAAACTCTGAAGCATCATTCACTTGGACCACCCGAACCTCCACCTATTGTGCAACGGGTATTAGTAATTATTTAGTTCAATTCGGCCTTCCCAGTTGATGGACTGAACCGGAGTGCTTGTCTTCTTGCAGCCCAAGTGGTCTAGTGGACAACGTCTTAGCGTTTGGAACTTAAACGTATTGGGTTCGAGTCTTAGTGGGAATGCCATCACTCACTGGGGAAAGCAGGTACAGCCACTAGGTAATGATTCCCAAATAGGACTAAGTGAGCATCCTGCAATTCACAGCTAATTACGATCCACCATCATCAAAGCGTCTTCATAAGGAGCTCAACCTGAGGTCGAGCACTTTGGTCCAATCAATCAACGGGAAAGTTAAAATTTAACTAAATAAGTATGGACATTTACTGTCGTCAACTCTATATTCTTCTAGGTTTCCTGTGGTGATATAATGAGTGTTTGTCTCAGCAATCCTAATTACGTGCTTGTGTCTTCTATCATGAATCCCTCCCTATATGTAATAATAGTTGCACAATCCACGTCTATACAAAATAGTTCGTTCATCGACTGGAATATCATTGGTAACATTGGACTTTAGAATATTCCAACCGACTTCAGATTAAATCATCAAATGAAATCAGTCAGACAACCATTAGAAACCAGAGACTGCTGAACAGCTGTTCTGTTGTAGTTTTGTAACAACAGAAGACAAGGGCCAGGTAACAGATCGTTTATTAAGGAAAATCAACACATATTTATAGATTTTAATGTACATTATTGTAGATTATTGTTAGTAGAAAATACAGTCTTTTGATTGGTTTTTTCTCACAGAAAGTTAACCTTGTATCTCTTTGTGGCTGTGTCAGATCATCCATTTGCTGACTGTATCCGCCTACTCAAAGCCTTTGTTCTCATTTTCTCACCACCAATATTGGGGTGACGTCAATTACTGTCTACCAACTTTGGCTAGCAGCCAGCTCTCACCACAGTTTAAACTCTTCAGTACAATGTACACTTATGACCCTATAACCAAGGACACAGTTCAGGAGCTTCAATTTACGTGGCGAAACTGCTGATGATTCATTCAATGGAACAGAATTTAATCGCCAGTTCATGAATTCTAGCAAATTCCAATTCTCACCAATGGCAGCCACTGCTACACACGATTTTGTCAACCTCACTGGTCACGACTTCTCACAGGCAACGTTTTCCTTTGGTCAGTTACTAGTAAGCATTTGATTAATTTCCAGTGTCGATTGGATAATGCAACAAAGAGCGGGCAATGAGGGAACAGGCATAAAATGGACTCACACAAAATACTTGGAGGATTTGGACTTCGCCGATGATGATATATGTCTCATTTCCCACAAACTGGAAGATGTGTAGGCGAAAAGCAACAAGTTGGAAGAAGAAGCATCAAAGATAGGACTTCAGGTGAACATAGAGAAAACAGAGGTAATGA